TGGGTGAGGAACAAACCCTGCTCAAACAGGGAAACACTGAGCTGCTCCTCACATGGCTTAGGGAGGCTTGGAGTGTGAATGGACACAGGAGACGGATCCAAAAACACCTGGATGAAGGATGCGGCGCTGGATGGAGGTGAACCGTGAGGGACCGGAGCAGGGGATGCTGAGACTGTGCGGTCCCAGACCACAGATGGAGGAGTTCAAAGCACGAGCTTGGGACAAATTCCACCAAAGCAGATGGACACGAGCGCCATGTCACTGTGTCACGCGTTCACAGCTCTGCACCTGGTGACTACAACATGCCCATGGCCCCAGGGCCCTTCACCGGGAAGCCAGCAGGAGCCCTGACCCTCCCAGACCCCCTCTCACACCTGGCCAGGTGCTTCACAGGGTGCTCTCCCTCCCTCCCTCCGAATTATCGGCCATGAATTGCTGTCACAGGCACCTGGAGCTTTGATGCTCCCCCAGATCTACATAAGCTCGCAGATACCGATGCAAAGCTGTCACGGGCACGGATAAAAAACTTCACACTTCAACACTTGTTACCCTCTAGTATGGGGGTGGGAGGGAAAGGAATTTAAAAGCATTGCTTGCAATAGCTGACACTCCAAAAAAGCCAGGTAGTTGCTTTTGTACCAACATAAAAACCTGTCACCACGAAGCTCCTGTTCACACCTGGGCCACTCTGGGTCAGAAACCTACAGCAAAAAAAAGCAGCGAGGCTGAAATCGGCTCGTTTCTCCCCAGAGAGATGCCTGGATGTGCAGCCCCTTAGCTTGGGATGGGGACACTTTGGAGAGGGGACCAGGACAGTGCTGCTGGCTGGGTCAGCCGGGGTCACTGGCACCATGTCCCCCACCAAAACCTCACCCCGGGTGACGCTGCCCCGGGAAGGGAGCGGGCGCAGAGCGAGTGCCAGAGCTCACAGCTGCTTTGGGCAGCTGCCCCCGACCCCTGCCCACCATCCCACACCAGCCACATCCACACCACGCAGGCAGCAGCCTGCCAGGACCAGCATACCACGGCCTGACCCATCTTCAGGACATCACAGGTTGATAAAGTGGGTGTCAGAGTTGTGGAGGAGTATTTCAGGAGTAAGAAGGGTAAAACCCCACCCCGGGTACAGAGCCCCAGAGCTCCCTCTCCAGTGAAACCTATTTGCCCAGGTTTACATCAATGCTATCAGCTGTAAAGCCACACACAAGCAATAAATACAAACATTTTGGTTAGGAGAGAGCAGGAGAACAAGGTTCAGCACTGAGTGCAGAGATTTAATCATTGCAAACACCCCACAAGCCTGTTGTGGCTTTTTTAAGCCTAAAGTGAGCGGCTTTGGCCAACCTAACATCAACACAGTAAGTTTTCTTAAAACCAAGTCTTGTGCTGCCTCCCCCAAAACACAAAGTCGGAGGTTGCTGTGAGATGCAGTGACCAAAGAGGGCTCTGAGGACACAGACTGCTGCACATCACTCCAGCAGTGCCATTTCCAGCTGAAAATATTAATTTAGCACAAAAGAGGAGCCCGTGGCAGCTGCAGGTCATGACACATGTTCCAGCAGCAAGAGCAGCTCCTCTCCAAACACAGATCATAGAACCCAGAACCCATACAGAGCTGCGAGACTGATAAAGTGACACCTGAGGGCAATAAATCTGAATCTGTTCCCATTAAGATTTCAGAGAAACACTTAATCTTATCTTAAAAAAAAATGCAAGTTTATCTGCAGCAATTGCTTTGTCTGTTTCTTCTGTTAGTCACTATTAAAGGCTTGCATATCTAATGCCACAACTGAGCTTAATTAGCAGATATTTAAATGCTATCTACCAAGAGTGATTTGGACAGACACTCATTGTCTTTTAGGAAGTCTGAGGTTCAGGTCATCTCTTAATATGCATTCTCCTGCTTTGAGGTGCCTCCACCACCAAAGGAGACCATCAGCACCATCTCTAAAGCAGCAGCACAGCAGCCTGTTAGAGATGCTCTGTAATGCATTTATTACACTGCACCCAGGCTGGAAGTGTAGATACCTGCTCTGGGGGCCCAAGTTGAACACTCTCACAGTAAAATTACTTTCCCAGATGAAAATTTCCCTCTCAAAACCCAAGAGACTTATTTCCAACCTCGCTGTTAAACCCCTCTCTCTTCCAAAGGTCACTGTGAAGTCAATCTTTGCTCACCAAGTTACAGAAAGGAGAAACAAGTGTAAAATAGCATGAAAAGTTTCAGCATGGATCAAAAGAAACCAGCAAAAACATTAAGGTACTCACTTGCATGCTGGAAGATGATCTGCTACTTTGGGAAGCAGGAATTAGAGCAGGGAAGCTGAAGACTAAGGTTTTTCCCTGGCAGAGCAGGAGAAAGCAGCCCAGCGTTTGAGCTCTGCAGAGAGGGTCCCAGCTACAGGTGGCTCCACTTGAGCTGATTTTGAGCCGGTTCCACCTGCAGCCTGACCAAGCCCAGCCCCTCATCAGGGGCAGCAAGAAGAGGGGCTGAAACACCTGCAACCTTGTGAAAGAACCATCTGGAAACACACAGCAGATAGTTTGTGCTATTTCTGGAAGCAGGCTCAAAGCAGATGGAAACTTCCTGCAGTGACCAGGTGTCACATGTGGGACACACAGATGTTCTGTCAGAGGGCTGAAGGCATCTCAGCATTTGTGTTTCAGGGGGAACCCAAAATTATCATCTTTATCTCAAGGCTAGACACAAGATTTTTTTTTGTGTGTATTAAATGTGTATTAAATATATTGGACTAGATGATCTCCCAACCAATTTTTCTGCAACAGGCTGGTAGTTTCTTGCTGGAATGACTAAAGGACAGAAGCCACGTTTATTGCATTAATCTCCGTACCAGGAGACTCGAAATGATTTTTTATTTCTCCCTCATATTGCATTTCTGTAACTTTTACAGTATTAAAATGATTAACAAAAGCATAAAACTGGAAACAAAACCAATCATTGTGAGTGTCTCCTCTGGCACTCCAAGGCCCATCATCATCAGCAGGGGCTGCCCTGGTGTGTTCACAGCCACACAGAGAGGCTGAGGCTCGGTCCCTGTAACAGGACACGCTCTGTTCTCGGAAGGGAAGAATCTGCCTTTCCCAGGAAGCAGGAAGGCACTCAAGGCATGGGCTACTTTTAAGCCTGGCTGGTGAGAATCCTCAAGGCGAGGTCCTGGTTCTTCACTGGATAAGCACTCTCAGGGCATGTGCTTTAGATGTCCATGTCAAACTGCTCTTCCTCGCCTGTTGAGAGGGACAGGAAAAGAAAAACCCACAAATGAGTCCTCAACGTTTCACATTAAATACCAAATATTTTATTGAAGAAACAACTGTCAGTTGTGCTTCAGAAGTGTGGCAGTTTGGACTTAAAAGCTGCATTCAGGCATCAAATTTGATACAAAAACCATTTTGTACCAGCAAAATGTAACCTACATCCATAGAAGGGATCTCACTCGCAGACAGAGGAGAGCAGAAGTGAAGATCCCCTTTAAATAATTTATTTCTACCCCTGGATTTCCTTGTAGAAAGAAATATAAAGAATAATGTTGATGACAATCACTGGTATAAACTTCTGTTCCTGAAGACACAAATGCCCATTTCACAACCTATCTGCACAGCTGCTACCACAGCTCACACCATCTGACAGGATGCCAGCACCAGCAGCGACGATCTGTTCCTGAGGACAGAGCTTCTTTGGAAGAGTCACAGCCAAGCTGGCATCCAGCCTGCACTGCAGCATGCCAGAGAATCCAGTGAGCCACTAAAGGTCACAACAGCGTGTCATAAAAAACATTGAGCAATATTAATTCTGGAAAGATTTTGCTTAGAGTGAGCGTGGAAGCCAACTAATGAGTATTCACATCTTTATTTTTAGAGAGAAGATAAATAATCACACTTGGTAGTTTCAGGTTGCTTCAAGAAATAATCTCACATAGCTTTAAAAAAAAATAAAGCCAACTGTTGAAGAGAAACACTTGCTCATGTTGCTCCTGCAGTGTCTTTAGTTAAGTGCTGATGTGCCCACAGTGGCCAGTGACCTCTGTTCTCCCATGGCCTAGCCTCTGGCTATGAGATTCTGCTGAAACCACTAATGACAGCAACGGACACTGGATAATTGATAGTTACCAATCAGGTCACCCCAGCCTGGGTGTAAAAAAACAAAACAAAAAAAACCCCCCAAAAACCCAAACCAGAAGGAATTTATAACTCAGGCTGATATTAAAAAGCAAATCCTACTCTGAATTGTCATCTGATCTTTTTCAAAAATGCAAAGCAGCTGCAAAATGGCCCAGGACAGAGAGAAGCAGCAACAGCTGCCCCTGTTCTCTCACCACAGGACTATGAACACAGTGTAGCAGTTTCCCAAGTGCTAAATTAATGAGAATTAAGTGATTATAACAAATGACATTTAACTAATTGGAAAAAAAAAAAAGTCACATTAGTGGGGACCACAGCAGAGCCTAATAACCATGAGAACCTAATTAGCTCCTGCCATCAAGCAGACCTTGATTTTGCAGGCAGTCACCAGAGTATTGGCCTCCAATACACACAGGAACTTCTGTATTTGCAGGAACAAGGAGGACACTTTATTTCTGTGTGTGTGTGTGCACTCACCTGCGCTCACTTTCTCATCACAGTTTTGGACATGATTGTTCTCAATCTTCAACTCCTCCACATTTGGGCTTGTAACACCTGGAATGTCCGGAAGGTCAGAAGGTGGCGTTTTGGCAACCGGAGAATTGCGGCACTCCATCAAGAACTTACGGTCGTAAATAATCCTGGTACCTGTGGGGGAGACAAGAACGCTGTCAGTTCTTAGTATTATCAAAATGGACGAGGACAGCTGGGCCATCTGCACAGCCAGATGTGTAGAGCAACAGCAGGAGTCATATTTGAAGTGATATCTATTATTTAGCACTTCCACTGTTCATTTTGTGCGACCTCACAAGGAAGCCAGACACCATAACACTGAATTTGCCAAAAAAAGGTACAAAGCATCAGGTACTTGAGTAATAGGAACCTGCTTTAGCAGGAGGGTTGGACTAGATGATCTCCCCAAGTCCCTTCCAACCCCACCAGTCTGTGATTCTGTGAACAGCTAGTGCCACCAGTGTGCTGCACAGAGGGAACACAAGACTCCAAAACCCAGGTGGATGCTGCACAATCCAGCCCCTTCTACCTAAACTCAGGGTCACAACAACACCCAAAGGAAACAGAGTCAATGGAATTTATTTTCCACACACAAACATAACAGGTTTTTCTCAGCTGTCCAGGGCTGAGGACTGTAGCCGGGCACAAGCACACACATCAGGTGACAGGACACGGCAGTGCCTCCGTGTGTCACCCTGAACATTGCCCAGCAGAAACTCCTCCCCAGGTATTTGTTTTGGCACAGCAGGTGCTGGCTGTCCAGCCCTGTCCCAGGGACTACACAGAGCTGTCACCATCCAGAGCACAGCCCACCCTCTCTGCCCCACATGGAACCAACCAGCCCCAGCACACCCCAGCCAGCAGCCTCTGCGGGAGCAGAGCTTGGCTCCAGGCATGGATTTCTAGGAATACTACTGGACTGATCAGCCCACTCCTTATAAAGGAATTGCATTGGAAAAAGTTCAAAAAAACCCCCAAACAAACCCAACCCCACACAGAAAAAGGATCCCTCCCAACAGACCACAGCCTCAACCCAGAAAACACTCAAAATAATTTTATTTCCCAAAGAGGAAGCTTAATTTCCTCTCTGGATCAGGCCCTGGCTGCTCTGCTCCTGTTCCAGCAGGAGGGAAAGCCAACTTCTCCTGTGTACTCCTTGAAACACTTTTCCTTAGAGCACAACCAGGCAGGGAAACGAGCTCCCATTAACATCTCTCTGGGAACATGAAGCTCGGTTTATTTTGAAGCGTGGCTATAAAACAATGTAGCTGGAAAGTTCTGCTCATGGGGTTCCCAAAACACCAGAAACCTTTGCAGGAGAGGATTGAGAATTTCAGTTGTTTCACCAGATCCAAGGGGAGACCCATCCTGGCTCAGAACTGCGCTCCAGGGATGAGAGGAGGCAGGGACCAGCCTGGGAGTTAAGTGTTAAATTCCTGGGAGGTTCACAAAGGCGAGGACAGGACTTCCTAGAACTGCAGCTCGTGTACCAAGGATTAGGAGCACAGTTCAGGCTGACAAGAACTTCCACGCCTGGTTCACGTTCCTCTCACAGTCACATGCCCAGAGCTTACCAAAGCAGACGCCCCGCGGGCAGCTGGAGCCCGACACCCAGCCTGGGCTGTCAACAGGCAGAGCCCAGGGCCATAAATGGGCTCCTTCCAGCCCCAAAGCCCAGTCACAGCAGTTCTGCTCCTGTTTAGTATTTTGTATGAAAGAAAACACCCCGTGGGGACTGCTCTGTCCCGGGAAGCCCTGGTTGTACCACAGCTCCCACACCCGAGCACCTCGCTGTGCGGCTTGCAAAGTCCAGGTGAGAATTTGGCTCCACTTTGGATATTTTAATGTGAAAATATTAAATTGAAAGTGTCCAGTACAACATCTCATTCCTTTCCTGCCACACACCCCTGCTGCTGTGGTCAGAGCATCAGCACCATGAGCTGAGCTGCTCCAAGAACCATCCCATCCCCACTGAGGGAACCAACAGCTCCAGGGCTGAGCCGGCGCATCTCTGCTGGTGACAGATCGACGTGGTGGGACCCCCAGGTCCTACAGCTCCTGGGTTTTACTTAAAGACAAGGTGTGTGTGTGTGCCCTTGGCGAGTGGGAGAGGAGCCAGGACAAGCATGAAGGGAACAGTGAGCACAGACTGTGCTGAAAGGTTACACACCACCTCTCACACACTCCTGTTTTCTTTTATCACTGCTGTAAGAAAAACAGCGACTGCCTGTGCTGGCAGAGGACAGGGAATCTCTGTGTCCTGCCATCCCTCCCAGAGGGGATCACAGAGCCTAGAGATCTGTGAGAGCAGCTGAAAAAGGAAAAATCAAATCCTTTTCTCTGATTGCTGCCACCAAACCAAGTCCCAGAGACCGTGGTGAAGCCCCCTGCTCGCTCACGTCAGGCCCACGGTGGGCTGTGCCCTCCCTGGTACCGGGAGGATTGAGAGCACCCTGAGGCAGGGCTGTCTGCCCTCCTCAGACGGGTCCCTTCCACACAAACTGCATTTTCAGATGGCACTGCAACACTTCTGGAGACACAAAAGCAACCTGCCCAAGAACTTCATCTCAGTGTTGTGCACAGGCAAAAATATCAGGAGGAAAATAATGGAATGGTTTGGGTTGGAAGGGCCCTTAAAGCTCATCCAGTCCCACCCCCCCTGCCAGCAGCAGGGACACCTTCCACTAGACCAGGTTGCTCAAAGCCTCATCCAGCCTGGCCACAAACACTTCCAGGGAGGAAATATATTTGACCACAAGCAGCAAAGCCAGACCAGAGTAAAGGTATTAGCAGAAAAGTTGTTTTTCAGTCATGGGGCGCTTGTAGATCAAGTGTCCCCCGGCTCTTCCCAAGTCCATGAACGTGGCTGTAAGACACACACGGCAGCTGTGGAGCTCCCACCACCTTTCCAAAAGCCTCCTGACACCCTGCACTGCTGCTGTGGGTTTCTACCTCTGGCACTGAGCCCTTTTTCCATCACTCACATCTCCAGCACTGCCCACAGCCAAAGGGATGACTCCAGAGACGACAGTCCTCAATTCTTCTCCAAAATCAGTCAGAGGTTTTGCACAACAAACTCAATTTGTTTCTTTCTTCTGATTTTTCACATTTAACCTACTAGTTTTGCAGGAAATCTCACACTTTCTTCAGTGGGCTACTTATGGTGAATATTTTCAACAGAAGGACCCAAAACTAGTACTTCTGAAACACAAGATTATTTCTCTTCACAGCAGTCAGGGCTGGCACACAAAGGAGAAATGCAAGAGTTCTCTGCCTGGATGAACAGGGTGGCAGAAGAGAGACAGAGAGGCTCTTCAAGTCCCAGCTGGCCTGGCCCCAGCACTCTTCAAAGTGACACTTTAGTGCATTAATTTGGGGAGTTTGCTGTGAAATGTGCTAATAATTATCTTCAGGAGAGCTCATCCAGACTCTGCAGGACAAGGAATTCTTTACAAACCCCGAACACAGACCAACGACCCAAAGCTAACACTCCCCCAAATTCCTTCAGGAGTTTTAAAAGTAATTCCTCCTTTTAGCACCCAAAATTCAAGAGGTGAACAAGCAGCACCCACAGTTGAGCTTCAGCAGCACACGTTGTCCTGGGACAGGCTGGGGACAGACTAAAGCACCAGGCAGTCACGGGAGCAGCGTGGGCTTTGCCAGGTGTCCACACCCTGACAGCAAACACCGCGTGTGCTGCTGCTCCACACTCCGGACACTCATTAACTCTCCAACAGGGACAAGCAGATGATAACCCTGGAAGGCTCATTAGGCTGTACAGCACTATTAATTGTTAATTTCTATTGTGTTACTCAGAGCACACGAATGCAGCCGAGAAAGTCACTCTCCCATCTTCCACAGCATCATTCCTGCAAGGGCTGTTCAAGTACCTCAGCTCTTTGGTGCTTTCAGAGGAGAGAGAACACGTGGCAAAAATAACACAAGACCTTCAGTTCCTCAACTCAGCTTTTCTGCACAAGCACAAAGAAAAAAATAACAAAACAAATGAGTCAGCAAGGATGACTTCTCCCTTCTCTCTGAATTTTAACCCCTGAAAAATCAGGTTGTGAGGAGACCAGAGGGTCTGAGGGATGAATGAAACATCCGCCACCTCCCTTTGGTTTATTCTTTGGCTGAACATCAAGTACAGCTTCATCAGTCCTGCTGCTCACTATCATT